GGAAGGGGGAGTAAAGGGGGTTTTTAAAGGGATCTGAACGCCCTGAGGCTGGATGCCTCGGCGAATTAAAGATAAGAGTCCTACCTACTTGTGGCGTACAGGGTCACTAGTAGGGGGACTCTACACAAAGGGTCATATTAGGATCCCGGTAATGTTTATGCACATCCTGTTTAAACCCCTCCAGCAATGGGCTGGAGATGTCCTTGGGGTCAGAGGTGCGCTGATGTCTTTTGGCTGGTGCTGGGGAATTGCGATGATTATGGACGTTTACTTTGCTATCAGGGCATTGAAAAAGGATCCTGACAGTAAGAAGACAGTACTGGCACTGATGATAGGATAGTGGTAGTAACAGCGTGCCAGCCCGGAAGGAATTGTTGTAACAGCAGCAGGACTAAACCCTACCCACTAAACCCGAAACCCTAATCCTCAACCCCTGAACCATAAATCTTACCCCCGGAAACTGGAAACTGGAACCTACACCCTAAACCCTAAGCCCTATACCCTCTACCCCTACCCCCTTAAGCTGCAACCCTGAGCTGAATAAAGTCTGAGGATGATGCAGTCCGTGGGTAAAACGCTGAGCCAATGCTTCGAAAAACTGTTTGGTACGATCGTTTCCATTGTGGCAGGGATGATCGTGCTGGGTGCCACCATTTGGCCAGGAATCCTCATGCTGCCTGTTTGAAATTTACGGGTCTAGGTTTTGGGGTCCTTAGGGCTTGGGGTTTCAAGCTTAAGGACAGGAATGCGAAGCTTTGACGCCCGCTTCAGGTGGCTTTCGTGTAGGAATGCCTCCTTCCTTGGATTCGTTAGTGGTGAGAAGGGATGGGGAGTTGATCCCCATAGTAATCCCCGATGCCAACGTATATATAGTCCCCAGACAGCTTTCCCATGTCCCATCCACGCATCCCCCTCGACAGATTGTTTGCGTGGGTGTCGTGGTCCTCTTTGAGGCCTTGTATAATGAATTAATTCAGAGGTGTTTGTAGTTGTGAGATGCACTTATGGTATGTCTTAATATCCCTGAAGCCCCACACCCAAGTAGCATCCCAGCGATCGATCTCACATGTTGGCGTGGAAGCACAGGATGCGTCTAAACCTAGACCTTCGTTATCTCTGGTGCCCCAGAGCGTTTGCACCAAGTTAGCTCTTCCCGAGCTATTTTGCGAAGAGTCGCAGCCGGTGTTTGTCTACATGGAAGTGGTGGAGGGCACTGTGCGACGTCTTCTTCTCAGTACGGAGTCGATGGGCGCAGGGCTTTGGAAGACACCCCCCCCATACCAACCTGCCCCACGATTCCTTTGTAATTGATGGAGGTATATAAGCCCAACTGGGGCTAATTGGGAGCAACCAGAGCCTAATCCGAGCTCTGGGTTTGTAAGGACGCCCTCCTGGAATAAAAAGAAATGAAGTTTTTTAGGGTTTATAGCGTTTAGGATTTAGGGATCAGAGGCCTTAGGGGATTTAGAATCCAAGAGCCCCAAACCCAGGGGTCATGGAGTCATCTCTGCTAGTTTTCTCAGCTCGGCTCCCCCAGGTCGTTGAATTAACTCTCCTACTCTTGCTTTAGCTTTTGTTCGGAGAGCTCTCGGCCTCATTTCAACTTTCAAGAGCAAGCAAGTAACTGGGTCCTTTACAACCATCACCGAAACTGATGACCCTTGTCTTTTAATTCTAGGGGGTGTCCAGACACATTGACATGAAGAGAGATCTCAGGCAAGCTCCAGAAAAGGTAACTCGGGAAGCAAGCGCTCAGCCTTTAATTCCTAACAAGTGTTATTGAACACAACAGGTTCCAGAAGCAGCCTCTGCCGAAAGTGATGTTGGACCCCAAAGCTGGATCTAGATTTTGTTTTTCCTTGGGGGGGGCTTTATTAAGCAAGCGGCCAAGGAATGTCATGCCGGAGTTTATAGACAAATATCACAGACCAAGGTCCGTGTGGGTCTTTCCCCTGCTCGCGTAAACGTCGCGTGAGCTCGTGCAAGTGCGCGCAAGTTCTGCGTAGGTTTGTGTTGGTTGCTGAAGCCGCTGCCTTGAAGCATTCGGTCGTCATCTTTCAGTCCATCACAGCTCGTTTCGCTCAAGTTTGCGCAGATTTTGTTGGTGGAGCACGTGCCACGTAAGCGGAGAGCACAGGACGGCTTGCTGGCGTGGGATTTGCGTATAGGTTTTGCATGCGAGAGCTTGCGGTACTAGAACACTTCTCAGAGCTCAAGTATTTCAACCCATATATAATCATCCCTCTCCACTATATTCCCCTATTCCCTACCAGACCCCTAAACACCCAAACCCTAAACCCCAGTAAGTTTACGCTTTAGGGGTTTCCGATTCCCGAAAGATAGATCCAAGGTTGGTGTGGGTGATGCCTCAGGCGATACTGGGTTGCAGTTGAGGAACTTAGTTTAAGTTACTATAATGGGGAAGCCATGTGAATCGTAACATATATTTATATGTCCAAAATATGGTAACTTAGTTTGAGTAACTATAATGTGGAAACCATATTAGATAGTGTACGGTTTTTTACGCAGCCAGAATACGGTAACCTAATTTAAGTTCCTTAACAGCAACCCAGGATAGTAGGGGAGGGCATCGTGGATGATGAAGGCAAGCTACACCTGGGCGCCTTGAGTGCCGGATGCCTCGTTTGGGGCATCTTGATGAGCACGATGGGACTCAAAATTCCTGCATTTTTTCTTGCCTACAAGACCAGGCGGCAAACATTGGACCTTGGTAAAGAGAATGAAGAAAGATGGAGACTTCACTTCAACGATAAGGAGCCTAACAGAGGGCGTATGTTTGGTGCCTTCCTGATTCTGCTTCGAGCAGTCGCCAATGGGAGCCTCCTTGTGTACTCGGCATGGATTCTGCCGCCTCGAAATCCAGACCAGAATCTCAACCTTTCGAAGTTTCTGCTGGCATGGTTCGAGGCTCCGTTGGCTTTCCTGATGGCTGTGTCTTGTCTCTTTTCGCTGGTCATGATCTACTGGAAACCGGACGAGCCTCAGCACTACGCCATGTTGGGGAGGAGTGTCCGACGGCTTGGAAGGTTTTCAGCCTTTTCCAGCCTGCCGTATGCTAACCCAGCAGTGATGCTGAACCAGCTTCAAGTTGCCGTTAATGACTTCCTTCAGGCGAGCGACCAAGCTAAAGAGCTGGGCGTCATGAATGTTTCGCAAGCTAAGAACAAAGAGGAAAGAAAAGATATCCTCAAGAGCCTGCGCAAGCTGGACTGGTGGAACCTCTTCGCTCTCGGCTATGTGGTTTTCTCTCAGATGGTCTACAATGCACTGTTTGCATGTGCTGCCATTGGTTCCGTGGTTGTGAAAACATCGCAAATGAGTTTTGTTTCAGAAAGGCCGTGGGACCAATGGACGGTTGCTGAAGGCATAGCGCTGGCATCATTCATCAATGCTCTGAGCGGGCTGGGTCTAGATCCAAACGTGCTTGGCCTGGTCAAGGTGCGCCGAGACCAGTACACGGGATTCCGTAGCAGCCACCTGCGGAATATATAGGGTTTATCAAAAGGGTAGACATGCGGACCTGAAAGGATTCAGAGTTTAGGGTGTGGGCTACTTGGATGGTCCTGTGTGAAGGTGCTGCGAGAGCGGTATAGGGACAAAGTGGATTTCAACGACGAGGAGCTAGTGGCATCTTGGCAGCGGCAGGTCATCCGATGTATCATGCAGGTACATGACCCTCACAAGGATCGAACATCCGTCCTGATTTGTGGCCTCACGTTAGACCTCACGGACTGTTGCGGCATCATGGACATGGACGATCTCGAGGCTCTTGGGACCGTGGTTCTTTTTTTCAGTTTGCTGTAATGATGTCAACCTTTTGCTTGCTCCAACAATCCATATGACCACCTCCAAACTATAACCCCCAATTATTCCTTCTTGAACTAGTAGGATCTGCATTTGAAAGGGGCCCAAAACGAGCGACCCGGACCCTGGAGCTGCGGACCTTGAAGCTCTTCGCGCCGTAATCCCGGAGAGCAACCCATCCGCTCGTGAAGCTCCAAAAGGGTCCCTTCAGGTGGGTGGTTGTCAAAATTATGGTCCCTTTTAGGGTACCCTAAATATTAGGTGCCGTATTATAATAGGGATCCAACAAGGGACCATCATTTTGACAACCACCCAGGTGGCTGGCCCCAAGTTGATGGATTCTGAGTGAAGACTTTCTGCTTCGTTAGTAGTGTTTCGTTGCTTGCACAGTTGGGAACATGTAGACTTTTTGCGCGTGAGCGCAGCATGCGATTTAAAGGTTCAAGAAATGGACCTAGATCTGACCATTCCAGCCCCTGGCCCGTGCCAAGATTTGTGTTGCCAGAATTGTGTGCCAAATAGTTAGGATGAAAAGCTTGGCACCTACCTCTTCTTACTGGTCGTTGGCAAGGAATAAGGGAATATAGTCCCTATGCAAAAATGGAAACGAATTTATGTATATTATATATATATATTATAAGTCTATATATTATAAGTCCCCTTATTCCCTACCAACCACCAGTAAGTCTTGGGGAAGGCCCATGGGCTGCTTTTTGCTGGTTTTCCCCAACATGCTTAAAGCATGCTGGCACAGCACCACGACACACTGCACTTCAGCTGTGTTCCTGTCCTCTCCTCAGTGGAGATTAGTATACCTCACACGCAGTCCGCGTGTGCAAAAAGGCGATGCTGGTGGAGCTTCAGAGCCTTTTGGTTGGGGGTTCAGGGTTTAGGGTTTGGCGGATAATGGAAAAGAAAATGGAAACTACTATATAGCATATTGGGGTTATATAGGGATAATGGACAAGAACATGGAAACTACTCTAGAGTATGTTGGGGTTACGTAGAGATAATGAACAAGAACATGGAAGCTACTGTATTCTCTTTGGCTCGCTGGAATCTACCGTAAGTCATAGTTCCAGTGTATCGTGGACACCACGCTAAAGAGGCGCAGCAGGTCTTCTTGACAGCAGGACGAGGAAGGGACCCAAACCAAGTCATCTCGTCCCCTGATGTTTAGGGTTTAGGGGTTTAGGGGTTTAGGGGTTAGGGGTTTAGGGGTTTAGGGTATGTCTCAAAATTCGGGTCCTTTTACATACACCTGCAAAGGACATGAATGCCTCTAAGCGATCAAACCACACACCCCATGGTGCCAATGAAGCACACATAATTATAGAGCTACCAATCGTTTTGGCAATCCCTGGGTTAATTTATTTTCTAGGTCTGAAATTCTTGCTTTTTGAGCCTGTAGCAACCGAGATGGTGTCCTTGAAGGTTTATCGTCCCCCTTAAGCAGATAGAACATGGATTCGGGTATATTATATCAGGATCCCTATATACCCCATGTGCTATCTACTTTCAAGGGGGACTATACCCTAAACCTAAACCCCAAACCCTAAATAGTAGTTTCCATGTTCTTTTTCCCTTTTCCCAATATAGGGTTTAGGGCTTTAGGGTTTTAGGGTTTGAGGTTCAGGGTTAAAGCTTCAACGACGGCTTTGGTGTTTTGGAGGTTAGTGCTTGGGGTTTAGGGCTACCTGAGCCTGCTTAAGAAAATCCTTGAACTTGTAGCGCAAACGATACAGAGGTGAAGCAAAAAATAAGCAAAAACAGGCCCAAAGCCACTTGAACCACTCAGATGGTTAAGTCATGTGACACCGAAAATCCCTCCACTACTCAAACACCTAGAGTCGAGCTCTGGTAGTTCAGGGTTCCGTTGATCAAAGTTGGCACTGCCCTCCGCAGATAAGCATGGAACCCCGTAAATCCCATCCCCAACAGACTGTAGTCATTGTAGCCATGCTTGGGATTCCATCATAATTATGGGTGTAGGGTTTAGGGTTTAGGGTTTATAGTTAAGGGTATAAGCCTTATGTTTCTACGCTCACATAGGGAAAAGCCTAGCTATGACCAGGTAATGTCCTTTAGTCTCATATGGTTATTATCGTTTCCTCTCGTTATTATTATTGATACGCGAGTCGGTTGCATTGGACTTACCTAGGTTCTAATATGTTCCAATTCAGCTTGCTGTCAAACCAGCTTCCGGGCACATGACCAATGATTCAGTACGTTTCTGGGTTGCTGCTAAGGTTTAGGGCTTAGGGCTTAGGGTACCATAACAAGGCAACCCTCCTATTTACGTACTATGTGCCCATATTTTGGCAACTGAATTTGAGTTCCTTAACAGCAACCTAGATTTCTTCTGCTCGCGAGCGAGATCACGACGGGGTCCTCTAAGGCTTCATCCTGATGTGGTACGTTCTCAAAGCTATGATCGCTTTTCGAGTAGCCTCAAAATTGAACGGCTGTATCATAAGAGGGATTCAAGAAGAGACCATCATGAGGACAACTCCCCAAATACACGCCTGTAGTCCCTTATAGGTAGGCTCGGATTTGCGGTATATAGCCATATTTACATGTAAAACTTGTGCTTCAACGCGTATAATAGCTTCCCACAAATGTAGCTGCAGGCAAATTTGAGCTGGTCCCGTTGGGGTAATATTCGGGCTATATTGGGGCTTTAGGGGTTCTTCTGGGAGAATGACAAAGAAAATGGAAACTACTATTTCGATTTTGGGCTTTAGGGTTTAGCCTTAAACCCTCAACCCTAAAGCCTAAACCGCAAAGGGGTTTAGAGTTTAGAGGATTTCAAGCTCTAAGCTGTTTTTTGCAGGGCCCTGCGCAGATCTGAAACTTTTGCAATCCTGTCCAGGTCAGGACAAGATCCAGACCCTGAGTCTGCCAAGTTCTTGAACATCCATTGGGTAGGGTTTTGGGTTTAGGGTTTAGGATTGGCGGTCTCAATAACCTCGGGCTTTGTGAGTATCAGCTTAATGGTTCAGGGGCTTAGGGGTTTAGGAGCTTCGGGTTTAAGGGTTTAGGGCTTGATTTGGGCATGCTGGCAGAACCAAGCTTCAGCCGCAACTGTACAGTGGATGGATGGATGGATGGATGGATGGATGGATGGATGGATGGATGGATGGATGGATTGTATAATCACCTCTCTAACGTTGCAACATCCCCCCCCTCTGGCTCCCACCCCCTCTTAAAACAAACTCCTCCAAAATTGAATGACACTATATCTGGGGGTTGTTATTGCTGGGTTGAGTGGTGGAGGTGATTACTGAGAAGCCTGAGGACATCACGTTCTTCGGGGAGCTACTTGACTATGAGGTCCCTTATTCCGAAGCCTGAGCCAAGGCCCTAAACCCTATCAAGTCCTTTATTCCCGCTGAAACTTCCTGAGCTGAGTGCAGGCTGCAGGTTGTCCGCGATCTCTCAGCAACGGATTCCTCCCACATTGCCCCAAGCCCGAATCCCTAAGCCCTAAACCCTAAAACCTAAACCCTAAACCCCTAAACCCTAAAACCTAAACCCTAAACCCCTGAACCCTAAACAACTTACAGTAGCATCCTTATTCGAGACGCCTACAAAATGGAAGCGCGCCTCGGACCTGCCGCAGTTTGCACATTTTTCAATACTAATGGGTTTAGGGTTTAGGGTTTAGGGGTTTAGGGTTTAGGGTTTAGGGTAGTTTCCATTTTATTTTCCATTATCCCAATGTTACCCCAATAGGATACTAGGGTATTATTAGGGGTTATCTAGGGGTAATGGAAAAGAAAATGGAAACTACTATAGTATAGGGTTTGGGGTTGAGGGTTTTGAGTAGTATGTTATTTGGGGATACTATGGCCCTATAATGGAGAATCAAATGGAAAAGAAAATGGAAAATGAAATGGAAACTGTGATTATATAACTCTTCAATAAGGCCACAGGCACCTTGTTGAGCAAGTGAGATTGTGGTTCAGATCGGACTCCATTTGTGGAAGCAAATGCAGTGAACATGTTTGCATCTTCAACTTAGAAGGTGATGACATGGCCATGGTTGAGTCGTAGCATACGACCTAAGTCAATCCCTGTTCCACCCATCCAGCCGGCTTCTCGCCAGATCAGCACTACTTCAGCGCGGGCATCAAAAAGTGTACGGAGCTTTGCTCTTGACTTGACGGGGGAACAACCTCCCACCGTGCACCTGATATGATTACAACAAGGTAGCACGCAGGAGTTGTTTGTTTGACAGACAAGAACAAAACGCCAGAAACAGCTGGCCTTGATGGCATTCACTTCTGAGTTGTGTGTACATGAAGCTGGCAGTGAAGCCCAAGCAATTTGTTGATAACGCGAAATGCCCCCAGAAAGTTAGTAGTTTTGAGCGGTAGCCCTACAGCAAGGAGGTTTGACTAGGCTTGCTTTTCACTTTACTTGCAGTGCAGCTGCCCTAACACTCCCTTCATTGCTGCACCGATGTCCCCTCAAAAATGTATTCCTGACCCTCGTTTCAGATACTTGAGGGGGGTGTAGAAAATTGAAGGTTTTCGCTTTGCAAGAGCGACCAATTACGTACCGGGAAGGTGATGGAGCGGAGCCCTATAATCCCTGTAATTCCTATATACCCCTCAAATGGTACCTATATTCAAGCCCCCACTCCGCACTAAGCACCTGTGTTCAAAGCACGCGCTGCTTGGAGTTTTTTTTTTTTTTCCTGCAGGGTCTAGCTTGCCGTCTGTAGACGCAGCTTCAACTGGGTCGCTGTGAAGGAACCTGAATAAGATCACCTCAATATGGGTACATAGGGTTCAGGGCTTGAATTACCATAGTATGGGTATATAGTTAATAGTAGGGGTTCCTGACTCTGACTATAGTGATTTGATTTAAGTGCCTTAACAGCAACCCAGTCAAGACTATGCGGTGTGTGCAGTGGTTTCAATGAAGCCTTGTTTCAGGTTTACGCGCGTATGAGG